AAAAAAAAAAAAAAAAAAAAAAAAAAAAAAAAAAAAAAAAAAAAAAAAAAAAAATATTTTTTTGAAAAAGTGAAAAAAAATATATAGGTCCAAACACATCCCACGCGATTCTCTATCGATTGGTATAGTCCAATTTTGATCGATTTTTTACACTCCGTACACCCTCGTGACTTGGTGAAAAAAAAAAAAAAAAAAAAAAAAAAAATTAAAAAAGAAATCTTGTATAATTGCCTTCTAATTGAATTTTTATGATTAGGTAATAGATGTCTATATAATTATCTTAAACATATATGTGTAATTTAATTGAATATATACACAATGATCTGCATAATCGCATTGCAATTTAGAGAATTTAATGAAAAAGGCGACTTTTAATTTCGTGAACAAATATAATTGCAAGATTCGTAAATTTAAGATAGATATCGAGCATAATCGATTGTGCGTAGAAGCCCAAATGACGCGATGTTTGCTCACTTGAGTTTTTCACGGAACCGCGGATGACCGCGGCCGCATCTCTCTTTTTATTATTCTTCGTATCGGCCGTTGCCGGGGTCGTTTGTCGTTGGCGTCGTTTCTTCGCCAACGTCATGCGACAACTATGTGCGCGACACACCATTCTCGGAGACGTGCGGCCGGGATTGCAAAAGGTCTTTACGTTCGTAGTTTGCTGAACGACCGACGTCGCGATATGATTCTACAATGATAGATAGAATACGCATAGTTTCGTCATTGCGTCAGAGTCTCTCTTTGAACGATTTACCGATTTGATGCTATCATCAGGAATATCTATCGTAATTTTGATGGTAACTTAGATTGGTTTTTTATCAAAATTATCGTGTATCTTTTAGCCTATTTCATTACTATGAAACAAGATAAATAGGTGATAGCTTTTTGCGTGGGCTATATATAACGGATAATCATTAAAAGTCACTTATTTTTCTACGTTTAAAATTATTTATTTTTACATAATATTTAAATATTGTCAATTCTATATTCGATTCTTTTATACATATATATATCTTATATATACTTCATATCAATAAAAACTAAATTTCATAAATTCTATTTTTTTTTTTCTACAGTGTCAAAAGAGGAGCTTCTAGCTAGGACTCGCAGATGTTAACCAGAACAAAAGAATTTCTTCGAACTTCTCCATAAAGGTAAATAAAATAATTTTTAAGACAATATTTTTCGTAATTGCCCTATTAATTCTAAGATCCTAGATCTTCAAACGAGGTACGCTGAAAGTCAATCTTCGCGCGAAGGAACGTAATGTAGGTCGCATGAGACGTGGCAAGATGCTGCTAAACAGAACCATATACGGTACAAATATCTCGGTAGCTGTGCTCGGTCCATGATATTTTTCTTAGTCTCCTTTTGTAGATATTTCATCTAGAGATCTTTCGTCACCGTTTCGTTATTCCCGCTTTCGCGATCTTATTTGCTTCTACTTTAAAAGTCGCATAATTGATTTTCGCAATATCGAGTCATTGATAGTTCTCGGAATATAGCCGACATCAATAAATGAGTCATCGATAGAAAATGCAAAGGGGAAATAAAATTTTATTTCACGTGGAATTTAACGTAATCTTAATGCGACACTTAACTGCAAAGATACATAATATCATAAACTAAAAAAAAAAAGAAAAAAAAATATTGAAACATTTAATTGACGTTTTATTATGGAAAAATTAATCTTGCGCGTAGTTCCTCTGTTTGATAATTAAGACAATATTAGACTATATATTGAACATTAGAGTTTAAACAATTAGAATAAAAGGAGCAAAAATTTCTTTATCCTGATTAGTCAATTCCAATCTTAATGCATAATCCGATATTGAACTAAAGTGCACTTTAGATAATTTATTATATTTATCTATTCCGTGATCTATTTCGCGTTACGAACAGAACTTCGTCACGGTGCCGCGAGTTGAGCACCGCTGGCATGCCTAGACGCCGTCGCGGTCGGATCTTTAAACTTTAAAAGCCAACGCGCGAATCGGCCGCGAAACTATTGACGGCTGGACCAGGGTCGCCGCTGTCGGTCCGCAGACCCCCTCCCCCCCCCCCTTTTTTACCCCGACAACGAGAGAGGGCCCTTTCGAATTTTCTCCCCTCTACTTTTCACTCCACCCCCACTTATCTCGCTCTCGTGTCGGCCTCTTTCTCTTGTTCGCGGACACAGTAAGTAAGGCTTCCACCGTACGGCCGCTTCCACCACGATTATGCAAAATAATTATCGTGGAATGCGGTCAGCTGTTCCCAGACGCACGCTGACGTCACGCGCGTGCTTTCTCGCCCGGTCACGTGCGCAGGCGTCTTCTTAGAAAATAGCACAATCGACATAATATGCCGAAAACACATGCTTTATAATCGACATCAACTTCTTTTCGTATCTTTTCTCGGGGATATTTAGGACTACGCGCAGCCATGAATATTGATAGCGACGTTACGTGGTTGGGGATTCATGGGAAAAAATCACTGATCTAATTCGATGTTAAAATATATCTTCGGAAAGTACGATTTTGTGCGATAATCTCATGCGAAATAATACTTTGACGTGCAAGTAATACTCATGTTCTGATAATATCCACAGATAATTCGGGTAATATTTCTCAAAATGTGGCACGTTTGAAAATATCTCTATGTTTTCTTAAAGAAGTAAAGTATTGCATCGCTTTTCGTTCGGGTAACTATATTCATTAGTTATCGATAGTCATCATTATGTCGCAAAGGCATAGCAAAGCGGCAAACATTTAATTATTTCACAACTCGGTATCACATGTTGTTTAAGTTCACAAGAGATAAAAGCGTTTTATGTTCTTTTGCTAGGATCGGTCGTTTCCGTTTTCTCGCGTGATAATCAGACTATATGTAACAGTATCGTGTCATATATGGTATTATATTGCCATTGTAGTGTATTGTACATTTTAATGAGATTCATTCGAACGAGATGAAATTGAATATATAAAACGCTCTTGTTAGTACGGTAGTTATAAAGAGTATAAAAAAAATGAACTGGTTTAATATACTAAAGCTTTTTTATATCAAAATTTATAAGTGCTACAGCCATCCGCGTAATATCACCTTATTTTCGTTATTAAATGGAATATGAAGTAAAAAATAAAATTAATTTATAATATGAAAAGTGTTATATAAAATTTCTAATTTTTTTAAACAATCTTTTTTGCAGAATTGTTCTACGATTCCATCATAGTTGAATGCTATTCAATTATGAGTAACTGATAAGTATATAAAAGATTCTTGATTATTCGAGAGATACGTGATTGATCTGATTAGAATTCGAATATTTTATAAAAATTTATTTTTTTTAATGCCACATAGCTTGAAACATAGGTTTCCTTTAGCATTTTACTGGCTAAAATAAATTTAATACGTTTTGCGGAAATAGAATTTTTATTATTCGTATTTTTTATTATTCTTCCATTAATAATGACGTAAAAAAATATTACCAGCAATATATTGTTATTTATTTTAATCGCCTGAAAAATTTTATTTATTCATGATTTATCAGTCTCTTTACGCGATAATCTCGAATATACATATTGCGCAAAATATTCATTAGGCCAAAACAGTGCTGGGATTTACTTGCACATTTCGGCCCGATTCCATGGCTCACGCCTATTGCCCCCCACTCACCGTTCGTGCGTTAGCAACGAGTCGCCAGACACGCGTAACTAAGGAGCGCGACGCTATGTCTCAGGAGCGTCCGCATGTAAGAATGCCTGTTTTCTTCAATATTCTATATTTCATTGATATAAAATATTGAAGAAAAACTTTTAATTATAGAAGAGTATTGTCGATATCGATATGTATTACTATCGGGCCGAAATGTGCAGGTAAATACCAGCACTGGGTCAAAAGATAACCTTACTGAAGCCGATTACCGTCGAAAGTAGCATTATAGTTCACTCGATTGTCATCGGTGATTTAAATTCCGTCCCGCTCGTTGAGATAGCTTCGGTAAAAGATCTCTAATATCTGACGCCGCAGTTCTTTTTTGCCATAAAAATGCTGCGGCGACTCTACGGCCGAGTAGAGGGTCTCCCCTCTAAAACTCGCCGCGAAAACCCGCCTCTATTACGCAGCAGAAAGCAGAACCTTCATCGGCTTCAACGGTGGCCTCTTCGATAGTAGAAATACTGGTCGGAGGTGGGTCTTTAAAAAATTAGCGAGGTTCGGCCCGCGCGTGGGTTCGTTCAACTCTTTATCCGTCTCTCTTGTTCGTTCGTTCACTCGCGTGCACGTACGCACGAATATCTCCCCTCCTGCCCTCCTCTCTCTCTTCCACACGCACAGATTCTTCCCTTCTTCCTTCTCTTTCTCTCTTCTAGTTCGTTCTCCGACGCGCTGGGCATGTCCACGTGAGCACGGAATGCTTCGCTGAAATGACTCATTATTTTTCTCTAGTTCTCTTTTTCCATTTTTTTAATTTATGAAATAAAATTATTTAGTATTTTTTTATTTTTTTTTATCTTATTTTTTACAATGTCCTACTTTTGTGAAAGATTAGATAATTAGAAGTTTTGTAACAGAGGCAAAAAGAATTCTTTCTTTTGTATGAAATTAGAGGTGTTTTCTAAAAAGAAATATTAGAATTACAGATATGTATTTATAGAAAAGTACGAAATATATTCGCGTGGGAATATATTTCGTAATGCATTTCTTAGAATTGACATCATCACTGGAAGTTTTTTATTTGAGATATTTGAAATCATGAGAAATATCTCGGATGCTGCAACATCATTTCGGGGAAACTGATGCATTTGACGTTTACTAGAAGTGATTAACGCTCAGTATTTCATCATAAATAGATAAAAATAATTTGCGTGTAATAATAACTTTATTTCCTGTAACACCGATAAGAGATAGGGAGTAGATGTATTTACGAAGCCAGCGACTTTATTGCTAGGTTGAATCAAAGGGAGAAGTGCATGCGGGTATGCTCCGTGATTCGCAGAATATATGTTAGTGAATTGAACAAATGGCTCTTGAAAGCCAATGACTCTCTCTTCCTCTCTTTCAAATTAATAAAAATTTATTTTTCTTTTTTTTTAATTATTAGATATAAAAAATGTTTTAACAATATTTTATCTATAACAATTAAAAAATAAATACGGAGAACAAACAAGATGAATAATATTGCAAACGTTGCATAAAAAGACAAAAATGAAAAAAATGAAATACTTATCTAAAAATGCAAAATATATGTATTAATATATTTCATGAATATTTTGTTTAATTAACTTTTCTCCTTTAAGCGTAGTCTCTTTTATAATGATTATTTGTAGTTTTATTAATGTATATAAAGATACACATGTATACACCAAGGACAGAAGTACGAGAAATACAAGAGAGACATATAATAAAAATGATAATTTTTACTCTTAATTTAGATTACAATTATCGCGGCCGATATTGCGTTATCGCGATGACGAAAAATTTCTTGGACGATTATTATTTTCCGCAAGGCGACGACGGTGCCGGAAAAAAGAGGAGGGAGAGACGATGACGGTCATAACAATATCACTGTTGTTAAGATAACCGAAGACAACACGGTTCCCACGTACGTTGTAGTACATATATTTTTGTTTGAAACTTGCCCATGCTTGTAACTGCAGGGATCCTCTAACTGGCATTTTCTTTAAACGAACGGATGTTAGACCTTCGTATTTTGTGATCTTTTATTATATTTACAACTACTACTTATGAAGAGTGCTAACGACCGATGTTTACAATGATCGCTCTAGCGCCTATATAAACATTTGCAGCACTCAGATCCTAACAAAATTATTCATAGTCGTGTTCAATATGTGTGTTGCCAGTAACCAAATTAGCAATATCACGTGAAATCTACGCAATTTTGAGAAGTTTTGCGTAGTCGCGAAAGAATAATACTTATGTCCCTCCAAAAAATTGATTTTTATTTCTGACAATAAAACCACCACAATAAATACACTTCATTGTGTTTATTGCATAGTAAATCGTATGAATTGATATTATATCAAATTTTTTAAGACGTTAAATGCGTGAAAAGGTGTGAATCAATGATTCTTTGGCATAGTTACTATTGCGTCTCGAAAATAGCAACGAGAGAAAGATAGAGGCACACATTAAAAACGGTTATATATGTATATATACGTGAGTAGCGCGTTTATTTTTTCCTTCGTAATCAGTTCTCGGATCATCCAATCAACAGAGTTCTAGGGCTCGTGGACCATCACGACGAATCATCGTATCTAGCCGCGATTTAGCTGTGTGTGACGCGAAGCAGCGTGGGAACTCCTTCGAGGCACACGCAGCGGTGCTCAATCGGGCCGAATTATCGTTGGCCGGAAATTCGCATGACTCCCTCGCTTTAAGTTTCAAATCCGACGATTTGCCGTATGAACAGCGCGCTATCGAAGTTCGCACATTAATTTTGCGATTTTCTCCGCGAATTCGTGCGCAAAGTCGAGCGGAGATTAATTAAGAGCACGTTGACGATAAAAAAAACCGCCTCGCGTTCCCGCGATCTCACATGTCAGTTCTTGCTACGGAAATTGTTAAATTAATTCTATATTGCATACATTAGCTAAATAAATTATCTTTTCGGAGACTTGGAATCACATAATAAAAAATATTTCTATAAATAAATGAAACAAAAAAATGGAAGATTTTTACTTCTTTCATAAATGATTCAATTTTCCATTTCATTTTCCATAAACCATGGAGCGATATACTTTATTCTATTTGCTTTTTTTACATAAATATAAAAAAAGAGATATATTTTAATGAATAGCAGATCGAAAGGAAAGGATCAAGGCTTGTACATTTTACCTTGAATGAAAATAGCATCGGGATATTTAACGCGAGATTCGGTAGGAAATTATGGCGGGGATGATGGGTCAATGTTTCGTGGAATGCGGGGAAATAATGGAGGTCAAACTTCCTCGGGTCTGTGCTTGCCGCCGACGAGATGAAAGGTGGCGGTGGTTGGTTAGTCGGAGAGGCCGGACGTAGTAGGTATATCTCTCCTTCGTCTCTCTCTCCTCGCTTCTCTCGCGTATTTTATTTGGCGAGTTTTTGCCGTGTTTTACGAGCGGCTTAGCGGCGCTTTTTATAGCCGGCTCGCTTCACAATGCGCCATCATAGTGGGTTTTTACAGACGTCCTGTAGAGTATCTAAGCGGCAGTGTGTATATCGAATGTGTGAGTATTTTACATACGCGCCGTTATATAATGAGCAGCGTGCGCAGACTGTTTCCCGCTGTTTAAGGTTTCCGACACATCAGGTGAATCCGTTCGCGCTTCTTTCTTCGATGACTTGTAGTAAATAATCATAAGTGGCGAAAAAAACGCTTAAAGTTATTCTGCATTTTTTAAAAATTATAATTTACTAAAAGCTTTTATACAAAGGATAAAAATATTACGCAATTTAAGCAAAAAGAAGTTTAATAAGACTCCATTCTCTTTCTATAAAGATAAAAAATATCATGAATAATTTAAAATGAGAAATTTGACAAGGTTGCTTTTAAGAATTTATTATATCCATTAATTTTATTCAGTTGTAAATAAACTAGCACTTAAAAGATGAAAATTCTTTTAGGATCTTTTATGCGATCTGTGCTGGGGAAGATCAGAAAACTACAAGGAGATTTAAATATCTGAATCTCTTTTAGAAAAATAATCTTCCTTGTTTACTTATCAAATGTGTGTGTTTAATATGCACTTATGAAATGATATATCTGAGCTTTTTTAAGTATTATTTAAGAAAGAGAGGGGAAGAGAGAGAGAAAAAGAAAGAGAGAGAAAAAGTATATATACAGAAGATGTTTCAGAATATCTATCTTAATTTTAATGAAGGATTTAATCACAAGAATTGTGAGAGATGCGTGTTAATATATCCTGTATATAATACGTATACAGAAATATACAAACACACACACACACATAGAGTCACTCTCCTCTTCATAATAATATATTTAAATATTGCATATAATTTTTAAAATAAGAAATTATAAATATCATTAACACATTCATTAAATAACAAATTATATTTAGGCAATGATGTAGCTAAATCGTTTCTTTTCGATATGCTCGAATTTGATATGCATGAATATTTATTTATGCTGTTGCTGTGTGAATACTTGCACATAACTATGCATATATGTTCGTATATGTGTACATAAAATCATATACATAGATTTCACTCTCTTTCTCTGTTTTTCTTATTTCTCTCTCTTGTTCTTTCTTCATTCAGATACTGGCCATGAATGAACCGCAGACTCTTCATTCTTACTATATAGCGAACACTCTTTTCCCACACTTTAATGCCACAATAACCGTCCTTTGAAGATCGAGGCTGTCTCGTCGATTTTTTTTATAAGGATACTATGACAATGTTGCATTTGTATATTTAATATTAATACGAAACACTGACATATAAAAAACATTATTTTAGTGACAGTCATTATAGACAGTCATTATCATTTATTTACTAATTGTAAGTAGAGCCCCTCTTTCTTTTCCTAAATAATTTGGATAAAATATATTTATAAAAGTTACAATTAGAATAACTATTATACGTAATATAGCATATCATTTTTTTACAATATAATGAATGAAAAAAACAAATTTTATGTATATATAAACACGCACATATGTAAAATTATTTTATTTTGCTTTTTATAAGAATGCGTTGTGTGTTTTAGTTTTGTTGAACATCAAATGTTCTAAGAATTTGAATATTATTTAAATGACACATCTCATACGATTGAAAATATTTCGATAAAATTAAAGTTATTCAAAGGCAACGATGTATTGTTTCCTTTATATTTCTTTAATAATTTCCTAAATAATCTGTGTTGAGTATGTGTCTGTCAAGACAATTATTATTATGTGACCACAAAGCATGATTGGGTGAGGACACTAAAATCGTATTCACCTCGATATTTACTGCCGATCATGACGATTGTACTGACTGTCGACACGTGGTCAACCACGCATAATTATGAGTATTCTTACACATTCTTACTCAGATTAATATAAATGAATATCATGCGTATATGTGTGTAATAAGTAAAAAAACACAAGCTAATATGCAATTTTATTTATTATGTTTATGAAACTTTGCAATATTAAATTTGTGGTTAAGCACCTGATTACGCACCAGAGGATATAACATAAACCGCAATTTTACATTAAGAAAGATAATATTAAGTTATATTCATTAAAGTCTTTTATCAAACTTTTCCTGAAAAAAAAAAACAAGGTGAACGAACCCTTTACTCGATTATACGATCGATGCTTTTTTTATCATGTTATAATTGGGTCACGCACTCACGTCTCTATGAATTTATATTGCACATACACACGCGCGCCCTGTTTCCGGTCGTGACATCATTTCTCCTTGCCAACTACGTCTCAGACAGTGCCATAATGTTCATCGCTTTGGAATGAACGTATTTAAAGATATACATTTTTAGACTTGTGCCTGGAAATGATTAATGATGATGTATATCATTATGTTGAATGTTATGACACTCAAATAAAAAAAAAAAAAATGTCGAATTATTATTTTTTATTTTACGTTTACTAAAGCCAGATTAAATCTCGTTTAATGCTTCATGGATCTCGCGCCGGAGAGAGGATCCGTTTTCTATTGTAAGTAGATGCATACGTGTAGTGCGCATTGTCTGTGGTTTAACGACGATATTCGAAGAACCGAAGAGGGTTGACCGGATGAGATCGAGACGTTTTTAAAGTCTGTATATGTTCCCTACATCCGAGTCGGGAATTAGTTTCGGCGCGTTGCTCACGCGTTTGGGAGATATCGACTCCTACCAATCTCATAACTCTTTCCGGTTCGCCTACGATACACTGATAAGTGGAAGCGCAGCTCGACGGAGATGAACAACTATGAATTGTTTTAGCAATGTAGAGAGATATTATTAGAAAAAAAAACTTGCGCTCTTAATATACATATATCGGACAATTTAATTATCTTAAATTCCAGTGATTTCTTGTTGATGGATATATAAAAATTATAACGCGGGTAAAGGGAAGAGAAGAATGGCAACCTGGAGTCATTATGTATGACAGGAAAACTTAGAAGTGTGATATGTATAATTTACTGGAGCATCCGCATTTTGATCGTTGGGTTCTGTTATCTAGCAAGGCACAACCGAATAACCGATAAAACGTTTGCGTCATAGCGCCACCTGCGTCAAGCATGCACGGCCTGTTGCGTAAATACACGCTTGTAATGCGTGTGCACACGTATGTATCTACGTTTAATGTAGGAAATTTGCCGTAAATTTGCGTGCGCGCGAGTCGTCGAGAGACAATATTGCGTAACGTGGGATGCGAACGTGGGTGTTTATTTCGTCGCTTACAAAGGCACAGTGCGATTAAATAAGTAAAATTAAATTTACGAGTCTGTCCTCTTTATAAGCTGATGTTATCTGTTGTTTAAATTAAAGGAGCATTAAAAGAAATCAGAGAATTATATTGAACGGTGTAAAAGAAAAATGGTTCAGAATTCTCTTAAGTTTTTTTTTTTTTTTTAATAATAAGTTCCCTGAGAATCTTTTTTTTAATCATGCATATTTTTTTATCATGTATATTGTTCATTGCATTCGACCCTTTACGGGACATAATATTTTAATAAAAGAAGTTATGAAGAAATAGCCGACAAACAATCAAATAAAGATATAATACCAGTAAATGTTATTTACGGATATATATATATATATATATACACATACATATATACATACTTCCGTGCTTGTGTTACACAAAAAGCGTGTGTTAAAATCAACTCGTTGAACTGTGACTCGTACGCATTTTTCGTGCGATCACGATAACATCTTCGTACGTTATATATAGCAGAAAAAAAAAATCGCTTATCTGAGGCGCCAGAGAGTACAAGATTTCTCGGGCAGAAGAATCGCGTTCACAGCTCTCGATTTCGTAATCACCCCTTCTCGTATCAGTGTCCGATTGCCTACCCCTCACCTCCCGTACTCGCACCGTTTTGCTCCGAAGGTTTCATTCTTCTCCCGTTTCTCGTCTCTGAATGGAGGCGTCAGAATTCTTATCGACTGCCGGGGAGCACTCTGGTATTACGTCATACGCGAGACCACGCGGCAAATATATTGTCCATTGCGAGCAGAGCGTTGCTGCTAATTATAATTACATCTCGATACTTCTAATTATAATTACGTCTCGATACTACCATTGCGTCGCAGTAGTGAAATCTTTCATTGACACGTAAACGCGAAATCGAAATTAAATTCCAGAAATTATTTCGTTGCTGCTAATTATAATTACACTCGATACTTCTAATTATAATTACGTCTCGGTACTACCATTGCGTCGCAGTAGTGAAATCTTTCATTGACACGTAAACGCGAAATCGAAATTAAATTCCAGAAATTATTTCACGGTAATATATGAGATTAATTCGCCGTTTCAACGTAAATAAATTGTGCGATGGATTTGTTAGTCGTCGATCTCCCGCAGTTATTTCCATCTTCTCTTATTGCTTCAATATGCAGTTACGATTGATTATTAGTATTTTATTGTACAATCGTTTCTCTTATTTTTCTCGTTTTTTTGAGATATAAAAAAAAAAGAAGTAATATATTATTTTAAATACTATACATCTATACTCTACGTATCTTGAATATCATAAGATTGCGTTTGCATTGTTTTGCGCTTTTAAAAGTGAAAAAAGCCTTTTATTAAAATTAATTAATTTCTCATGATGGGTATACAAAGTCTACGAAAAATTATATTACGGCAACACGTTGGTACATGATAATTCGCTTTCAGAAGTCGGCTGACGGTGTCGCTTACAAGAACGGTCAACAATTTTTCAACGGCGCGTTATCGCGCCTCGGAGAACGTCGCGGCGCTATCGCTCGCACACGCACGATTGTGTCGCTTCGTGTTAACGCCGCGCTCCGGGGTCTCTTTAAACGCATGCATCCAGCGCGTGTTCCCCATTCGCGTTCACCAGGCCGAGCTTCATTCACGTTCGCCATCGCACCGTCGACAATCGGGGCCGGATGTCGCCCGACGCGGCGATTCGATATCCTCGAGCGGCTTTTTCGATCGTACGAAGGTCAGGACGCGGGTTAATCCCGAACTACGAACTGTGTTATTCGACGCGTGACGCACGTAGAAAAGAGAGGGAGAACTCTCGGGAGCGTCTGTCGATATCGCTTAATTATCGTATTGCACGAGTGCGCCTGTACTTTAGGACTCTAAATATACATAATAATAACATATATGCAATGAGGCGAAATTAAAAGCGTTTAAAAAAAAATAACGGTTTCTTTACGGTCGCATTTAATCATGCATTTTCGAGGCAAATTTTTTATCTCCCTTTCTCTCCCCCCACAGATATACATATAATTATCGATGAATTTTTCGAAGATATGAAAAGAATATTTTTTGCATCATTTGAGAGAAAAATACATGCGCATGAAGATAACGCTTCATCGGTTAAATAATAGAACGAAAATTTTGACATATTGAAATATGGAAAATGGAAAAATTGGCGTGCGAGGAAATGACTTTTTATGACAAAATATCTGCATGCAATCATAATTATGCATTTTTTTTGCACTTCTTAAAGATATCGTTCGATTCCATTCGGCTGAATATTTGTCATTTAAAATGGAGATAATAAATCTATCAGCAGCGAATAATCGCAATCGGGTTTCTTTGAAGGCACACTTCCTTCGCTGAGCTATTGACGTATTATTCGAGCATTTCCGTTTCCGGTTACGTTTCCCGATCGCTTCAATTATCCTTTCAACGTACGTAAGGTGAAATTTCGCTGCGTGTGCGCGAATCGGTGAGTATACACCGCGGTGCCTTCTATCGGAATCGTTTGCCATACGGTGTCCGCCCACTAGCTGTGCCGCCACACACGTTGTCGCCGTCACCGTCTCAAGCTGCGTACACACTATGTCGCAATCGATGATAAAGTAACGTATTAAAACACGATCTACATAATAGGCATTCACTACGTGACAATCGCAATTGGGTGATTATAAATGACGGACTTACAATCTAGCATTTAATTCGAGCAAACTAGGTTTGCGCGAATTAAATGCTAGAAATTATGGAGTATGCTTTCGACTATAAATGACAAGAAAAATTTTTAACACGTGCTCATTTTTAAAAATATTATCTTTTACATTATCAAATAATAAGGGTTATTATATGTAATATGAACGTGGCTTAACGCTGCGTTCGTGCAACGACTGCGCAACGCATAAGAGCTAATAACGCTTGTAAGTGAAGGTTGTGATGTTAGAGCGAAGACACGGAATATGTTATTTCATTGCGGAGTTGCAGATATATTCCTCACGCATACTCTAGCAAGTGCAGCCATACTGAAAATAGAACTGTGGCTCTTACGAAACGTTTCTTTTGAACTCTCTTCTCGTATTCTGTTTGAGTCTATTTGTCTATTACATTATTGCAAATATATTCCGTGTACATAAATATATGTGGCGTATTTCATAAAGTCATAATTATTTCTTCTGTAGCTTCAAGTCTTTATTAAATTTCATTATTAATATTCGTTTTTACTACTAATACTACTCTCTCCCTCTCTCTCTCTTTTTACTACTAATATTTTTAATATACATATATATATATATATTAATTTAATTTTGCAAAAATGTATCTTATTTGTCGTATATTTTGTTACATAAATGATATAATGTATGTGTGTATGTAAATCTAACTTCAAAAATTTTACTATAGTTGCATTACAACAAGTGTATATAAATCGATTTAATACATTGGTTTTAAAAAGTATTTGAAAGCTCACAAAAGAATTAATCATATCGCGGAATAATTATGAGTCTTAAAATCTGAAAGTTAATATATTATATTGTAATAAAATTTATCAATCGATAACACACACATATGCAATGCATTGCATGCATTCGGAGCTTAAGCTTCATGTGAATAACCATTGCATTTGTATTAGCTGGCGGAATATACATTGTACAAATAAATAATTTAATCAATTCTTTTTAAGTTATAATTTAATAATATAGGGGAAGAAAGAAGGAGAAACGAAAGATTCCGAAACAAACCGTTATTTAAATAAAGTCGTGAAACTCAAAATATTTGTCAATTTTTTATTCAGAAGTGTAAACATTTATTACCGTTGAAATCAAAGATTCAAGATCTCAAAGATTCCGGCCTCTTCGCGAATAAAGAAAGTGTACAGAAAAAGAACTCGTCTGCAGATCGATTTCCGTTCGTATCAGAATCATTACCGCTCACATTTATGTATCGAGGCGAAAAATTTCGCTTTTTGTGTAAATTCATCTACCAGAACGGGTTGTTTCACGCTTATACATAGCATCAGCAAAAGTTTAATATACATGTGTACAATGTAAAGTTTGCATTTTCTGTATAAAATATAGTGACAGAATATAGAGTGTTCGAAGCGTCCCTTTTATCCTAAGAATTATAGCAACGCGCTCATGAACAGAAAGATTTTCAAAACTACATT